ATGTTGGAGAAAGCAACGACCATCGATGCTACTGACGTCATAGGACTCATGTTTTACCTTTCATGTACACTTAGCACACGCATGGTCTTGTGTCCACTGTTTGAAGTCACGTTGCATATATTATTCATATTTTAACTCTTGTGTGATATTCAATAAAACAGTTCTACTCCAAATTAATAAGTCCATCATATTTAACAACCTTTTGCAACAAATTGTCTTACTAAAAGTATATTGGAATATTATGAAATAATTGGACGTAGAATTACGAGATGAATTATCTGTCATTTTTAATTTGGGGAGGAATTTCTTGTATAAAAAAATACTAATTATTCGTGAAATATTAGTTCCTTTATTGAACAAGATGATATCAGAAAATATGATAAGATATCAGTACAATTATCAGTAGACTCTTATCACAAGTGATCAACATTTCTCATGTGCATTATGCCACAAATACAAGCACGTTACCAGAAATATTGCAGTAACAGAACTGAAATACACGTAGATTTCATCTATCCAGAGTTACACTTGATTTTCTTGGAACGATGTTGTTAAACAGTTAATCGAACAAAATATATATAAAAAATATGATAAGCAATTATAAATGATTGATTAACGCAGTTTAATTAAAGTTGCTATGAACTGCATTGAATCACTTTATCAAAAAACAAATCGCCGTTGCGTTTACTCGAGCCATACTGTAAAATTGAAGGTATTATACGGATACTGCACATAAATTCAAGGACGTAATGAAAACTGTCTAACCGGGTCGATTCCTGGCAACCTCGTGTCGGTGGCAGGCGACCACTGTTAATGTTTCATTGTCAAACACAGCCCGCATAGCTGTTATGAAATTATAAGTATCTCATTATTAATGTTCCTTGTACATTCTCCTCGTTTAAACTCGTTTTCTTCAATGAATTTTACTCTTGCATAATAAATTGATGTGATTTTTCATCGGAAGATAAATGATAAATAGAATGTTGAAATCTTGGTCATGCGATAAATGAGCGAATTCTGTTGTAATCAATAATGGCAAATCAATAATAATTGATCATTATATCATCAACACAAATCAACAGTTGACTAAAGTGTATAAT